ACGCGGCGATGGATGGACGGATGAACCGACGAAGAAAGAGCGAGGCGAGTTTAGTGGGTGAGAATGCGAAAGAGACGAAGGGGGAAGAGCGAGTGGCAGACTGAGGACGGGACGCCGTCGAGCATGTGGTTAGGAAGGGCAGCGACGGCGAGGGAACCGGGGGACACCGTTCGTCGCGGCGCGGCACGGCGGAACCGTCGGCGGGATCGCACGGAGGGAGGGGGCACGAGGTGGGTCGCGACGGCCGCGAAGAGAGAGGGGGCCGCAGTCCGGCGCCGCTGCGTGTCATTGCTGGCGCCAGCTAATTGTCGAGGCCAGCCGGCATTAGCCGAGGAGGCTGACCGAACTGAGTCGAACTCCATGAAAGCAGGCAGGCAAACGGCTGTTACCCGAAGCTTCGACCAACCCGACTCGACTCCGGTCGCGTTGTGCGGTCAACTCGTTTCTCTCCCTGATTTGTCTTTCGCCCCCCCTCCCCCCCCGTGTTGACTGCTAAAAATCCAGAAAAATATATTTTCAAAATGACACATTGACACTTTAGCCTCCTGTTAATGCCAGGTTTGGAAAATAAGATCTCATCACTGAATTTTCTTGAATTCAGAATTTAATTTTTAATATTAGGTGATTGGATCTCGATTTTTGCAAGAAAAAATTTCGTTTCAATGTCCAAAAAGGGAATATTATTTTAGTCTCGTTATGTGATTTTTTTGGACAATTAGAATATAAGTACGCCTACTTACAGTGCTGATCTTTCGATCGTTGAAATTTTTGAAATTCGTCGGAATTGGGGACAGCGAAGGCGTCGGGAATCTTGGCTGGTACCGATGTTTATTATATATTCTCAATCTCTCTGGGATGCGCGTGTTGGTGATTTCGACGGATCGGGAATAGATTTCCTAGGAATTCGAGTTCTCTCCTTCTCGCGCCGCCGAGAATTCCAAAGGCACTTAGACTCCGTTGTTGAAAACAAAGACTGACCACACACTGAAATGGTATTCCGTGCGACTCTCGTGCTGACATTCACGAAGATTATCGTTTCCATGCGCATACATAAATCACGATTCCGCGATGTATAAAATTCAATCACAGCGATGAACGACGCGATGAAACGCAAACGCGAATAAATAATTTCTTTGTTACAAAAAGACACCTGGCTTTACTTAAGAAATTGCCATAATACACAATAGAAAACATATAAGAAAATTAAATTCAATTTTCTGCTACTTTCATATATTTTTGTTAATGCGCGTTTATTTCAGTGTATCATGACGCATAATAGTTATTTAGTTCACATTGCTCGAAATAACGCGTGCATTTAACAATATACAATGACGCGTGTACGGTGACCAAGGATCGCCTATTTTTCCCGTCGGCTCAATTTACGCGCAACCTCGCTGGCTCGCAAACAGACACCGGACGCGACCATTGTCAGCGCGATCGTCGATAGCGTTAATTTCGCATCGGATCGCCGCCGACCGCGGCGTTTTATCACGCGTAAATCGTTCCCGCGGTGGCGCCTTGTTTTCGTAACGCTACGGCACAAACTCGCTGTCTTTATCTGTTTTTTTTTTTTTTCGCGTTCGGCGACCGTTCGTTCACACATTGCCGCGACGGCCGGTTAATAATTCACGCCGGCGAATCGATTATCATCGGCCAGTCGGCGACAGCACAGCAACAACGGCGGCGGCGGCGACGGCGGCAGCGGCGGCGGCGACTGTGCGTGTCGTCGTTACGCAAATCGTCGCGGCGCAGGTTTTTATCATCGCACCGCGATTCAACGCGTAATGCACGACTTTCTCCATCCTCCCCTCTTCCCTTCCCTTTTCTACGCTCCAGCATTCATTCATACCCAAAAACACGAGGAGGCGAAAAATATACACTTTCGTGTATATTTTTTTTTCATACGATTTATAGGAATCATTTGTATGACGCGTGCAATTTTTTTATCTATCTAAAAGAAGGAATGTATCGGGATAATGTTGTTATGTATCTCGTCCACGTGCGAGATTCCCTCGCCTTTGGAAATCGCGACGCGACCGGTCGGTTCAATAAATGCAATAAACATTTATCACCCGCCAGGCTTGACAATCGGATAAACAGGCCTAGAAATAGGCGCGTCTCGCGCGGTTGGAAGGAGACGCCGGCGCGAGAGAGTTACGTAACCATCGCGGGAGCGCCGCGCGTTTATTATAAGTGGCTTAATTAGGGGCTGAAATATCTCCGTTTAAATCGCGCTTCCATCTTGTTATTTAAATCGTGCCAATTCTGGCCCGAAGTTTGAAGTGCGTCGATGACTGACACGCCGCGTCGGCTTTATTAAAGCTCGGCGGCGACGCGGCGGCCAGTCGACTCTCTGGAGAGGGATCGGGCATGCGAGAGAGGAAGAGAGAGAAGAAAAGAGATAAAGAAGAGAGAAACGAGCCGCGAGGAGGATTCACGTGTAGGCGCGACAGGCGGCCATTACGCATCGGCGCCGCGCCACGCTTATTATCTAGGAATTTCGGCACCGTCTTGAACAACAGATCTGCCTTTCCTTGAAAAGCAGAACGGATATGCGCGTTATTTTAGATTACACGTATCTAAAAGTGCAATATCAATATTATAATCAATTATAATGTGATTTCGATCAGCGATTGCATAATATTATTATTATTATGTTTCGTGAATTTTTATTTAGGCGGATGAGATGATTGATAACAGTGAGTGATTTTTATCACGTTGCGATACGCCTCAGAGTTCAAGATCGGAATATTCCCATGGAAAGAGATGAATCTTCTTTTTATCAAAATATCTGCGCCCGTATGTCCTATCCTATATTTATTAATTTTCTTGATACTGCGGAGTAATCTCTGCGAAATATTTTTTATTGCTTATGTAAAATATTTTTTTTTAGTTATTTACTTGAAAAAAAAAGGAATCTAGGGAATTTTGGAAAAAAAGAATCTAATCTCTTCAAGTAATCGACTGTCTTCTCGAAGAATTCCTCAAAGATGCAGTTGCGCACTTGCGTAGGCGCGGTGTTTCGTTTTCTTAGACCGAGGAGCATCGGATTACCTTGACGTTTGAGATATTCACGCCGCGGTTTGTCCTCTATATTTTCAGGGCGACACGTAAAAGGACGAAAAATGACGTATCGATTTCATTGGCGATCTGCGTCAATAATAGGACCTGCCACTTTTGGTGCTGGACTCCTCTGACGGGCGCCCGTCATTTGTCGCGATATTTCGCGTCGCCGTCGCACGTCGTCGATATCATTAATTCGATTTAATCGAAAGCCACCACAACCTTGAGTTCGTTTCTCAATGCCTTCGCGATGTACCAAGTGGCGACTTTACAAAAATGAAATTTACAAAAATCGTAGGCGTTTTATGATATCTTTAATATTAATCTCACTCATTATTAGTAATATTTAATATTTTTATTAAAAGATAAATATTAAAAAGTTAGTTATTTAAATATACCAATATTGATAGATGTATGTATACTATAAATTATAGTTAATAGTTAATCGAACTTTAATTATTTATTTTCGATATTCAAGTTTTTTTGTACAAGTCATTTTAGTAGTATTATTAATATATTAAATTTTATTTCTAATTACAAATTAATATTATATTTTTAATTAACTGATAAAATCTTTTTCACTTTTTTGTAAAAGTTGACATCATTTTTTATATTAAATCTTTTGTAAAAATAATAAACTCATTCTTCGATATGAAAATTTTTCTATAGAATAGACTTTTTGCACAAAAAGTAATTAGAAGAATAATGAGAGGCCCACTAAACTTAACGTTACTTTTCTACTTTTTTTAGAAAAGATAATTTTATTCGTGTGTATTTATATATTTCAAAAAATATTCAAATATTAAAATCAAGAATATTTATGACATTCAAATTTGTGCATAATATATAACATTGCGTTTTATTTCCATGCAATTTCAAATATATAACATATACAATAATACATAACGATTATTATTTTTCATTTTCAGAGTCGCCACCACCCCCATATTGCCTTATCGCCGACAGACTGAGACCTGAAGGTGAGTGTCTTCACTTTCACGCCATAATCAGAAGCATCTATTAGCGAATGTATACAAATAACGATGTGTGTGTGTGTGTGTGTGTGTGTGTGTGTGTGTGTGTGTGTGGTGGGTGGGGG